ATAAACTTGACACATTTAAGTTATAGCTTGGTTGAAGGAAATGGTACATGTCTTCTAATTAGTGTAAGTAATCAGTTCTAACATTATTCTGAGAATCTTATTAACCAGTTCTAGGTGAAGAGCTTTTTCAAGCATTCTAATAAGAACATTATTAAACCTAAGTATGAATCCTGCCTTCTAGGCTAGAATATTAAACTCCTGAAAGAAGGTATTAATAGAATGTTTGCCCTGTTGTAGAGACACAAGCTTGTTCTGTATATTATACTTCTTATTCAGATTAATAAAGGAAGTACAGAGCTGCCTTATAAATTCTGAATACAACTCATTGTTCTAAAGTCAGATCAGGCTTCTGATCTAATGTCCTTCAATCCAGTTCTAGGCCTAGGTGGCTGTGTTGCCTTCCTTTATGAAGGAGAGAACAAATAAGACACAATTAAGGTCTGAGGATAGATTAGTTAAAGTAGTAACTATATATAGTTTGACTTGGTACTGGAAGTCCTTAAAGTGTTACCTATTAAAGTCTGAAGGGTAGACTATATACACTTTCTTTCTAGAACAGGTTGTAACTTCTAGAACAATTAGAACAGGTTCTAAGAGAGTTAGAGGTATGTAGTTAGTAAAGGCCTCTTAGATAGAGGTCTGTATGTATTAAGCTAGGTCTGCTTGTAACTACTAATCTGGCAGGATAGTAGGGGTAGTAGTTAGTGTAGGAGAGTCTATGTTTATACTATAAAGGAATCAACACTAAACTAAAAGGGGTAATGAATAGAAGAAGGGTGGTAAAAGTTTAAAAGGGTTTAAAAAGTTTAAAATTTAAAAATGTAAAAGGGTTGGGACAAAGAAAAGAGATTAATACAATAGTGAGTACTAATGCCTAAAATGTAGGAGAGTTATAGAGTAGTAATAGGTAGTCTTAATCTGATGTTAGTAACAGTATAGAGGGGACTCAAAGGCTTAGTAAGGAGACTCAGACTACAACTATTCTACACAACAGAAATACAGAACACAAGTACTAGAACATAGTCAGAACTTACAGAACAGACAGAGAGAGTGAGTGAGACAAGAGTAGAGTATATAGAGTGAGCTTAAGAGTACAGGACTATCTAGAGTAGATGAGATTAAGACTATAGAACCAGTCTGATCTTATACACTTATATATACTAAACTATACAAGAGCACTCAGGGAATAGTGAGCTACAAAGAATGAAATAAAGGAAGGTCAAAGATAAAGGTACAAAGAATGAAGGGATGGACAAAGGGTAAGAGACTATAGAATGAACAAAGAATGAAAGGGTGGTCAAAGGAACAGAATAATAAAGTAAGGAGGGGTAGAAGTGAGTGTCAGCCTGTATATAGTCTATAGACAGCACTCCTGAGGGACAGAAGTCCTGAGTTCTAGTACAGAAGGGTGTAGAACCCTTGGAACTAAAGGTGTAAGAGTAGAGGACTGTAACATTAAGTACTTGTCTAAAGTTTTTAACATGATTATTATATTTTAAAATAGTAAAGACTCATTGTATACTTTATATGTAACTGTATAAGGGTTGAAGCATTCTTCTAATCTGCTCATAAGAGTTTTAATCAACATTCTAGTATGTATAAAGTTAGCCATTATATGATCTGCTACTTTATTAATTATTAATGTGTAAATTGTGTACACAACCTTAATGTCTTCAGGCTTTGGTTCATTTGTGAACAAGTGTATATAGCCTGTTGCTGTAATAGCAGAGTTAATCTGATACTTCCATATTTTGAATCTGGATGTATCTTTTAGTTGTACAATGTTGTGTTCAAAGTGTTTAGAGACATTAGTAGGTTTATAGTGAGTAGGATTTGTCCTGCTTGTCTGTTCTAAAGTTGTAGATGGATTCGTTTCAGTTCTAATCAATGTGTGTGTATTGCAAGTACTTGGGGAGTCCATCATAAATGTATAGTGTTAATGTTAAGACAAGACTACACAAGAGTATGTCTCAGATAATATAAACTATATTACAAGCAATAATGAACAATGATGGAATACCTTCCATCATACATTCTACATCTGAGACATACCTACATAGTATATATAGACTAACTAATCAACAGACAATGAAGCAAGCCACAAGAGAGCAAGCTGAGTCCACTATCCCCCCCTCTTTGTGTGATCCCTCTAAGCCTCTCACATAACCTCCCTTCCCTTTCTTAACAGTTAATGTAAAGTAGTATAGTATAGTCTTATAGTAGTAATATGAGGTGTTAAGCAGAGAGTGTAAGGCTCATAACCTGTTAGAATGTGTTTGCTTAAGTTATCACACAAGTAATAAGGGTGTAGACCCTGATAATAATATGTATTTAGTTAATAAGTTGTTTGTTTTTATGTTATTTGTCTGTATGTATGTCTTAGATATCTGTTGTCTCATTATTTCATATCTGATACTTATTGTGTATCCAATACATGTCTTGTATCATGTATCCAATACATGTTTCTTAGTTCTGTGTCTGTTCTGTTAATTCTGTGTCTGTTCTGTTTGTATGTGTATTAATTGTTTTACTAATACTGTAGTATCTGTAATTGTATCATTGATTATAATACATGTTAACAGTTATCTTAGGCAGCATCTAAGAACTACAAGATACATTAGATAGATGTAAAATCTGTATATCTTTATAGAGAACTAAATGAGGACAAGCTCATTTATGTGAAACTACTGCTAGGCAAGCTACTTACAGATATTAAACCTGGACAGGCATTACATTTAAATAAAGCATTATACAGATTGAAACAAGCAGGTAGACAATAGTACAAGAAGATTACTAAACTACTACTTAAGATTGGATTAGAACAAGCTAATTATGATTACACCATATTTTATAAGAAACAAAATAATAAAATGATTCTTATAACATTTATGTATGTTGACAATATTACAATTATTGGCAAAACTATCACTATAATAACAGTATTTAAATATGCATTAAGACAATATGTTACATTTACTGATAGTAACAAAATACATTAGTTACTTGGTATTGAAATAAGCTGAGATAGATCTCAACAAATGATTAGCTTACAGTAAAAGCATTATATTGAAAGTATAATCAAGTATTACTACTTTGAAAACAAAAAGGCACTACAAACACCTATTACTCCTAGAATAGATCTATCCAATGATACAAACAATATGTACAATACAAACAAAAGTAATAATAAAACAACACTATATATGAATATAGTAGGATTGTTAAGATATGTTGTGGATTGCACACAGCCAGACATATCTTATATTACTGGGCAATTAGCATACTACCTACAAAAGCCCTAAACACATCACTACAAAGTAGTGAAACATTGCTTTGTGTATTTGAAATATATAATGAATTACTAGCTTCAACTTGGAAGCACAAACACCTTAAAACTATAAGACTATTGTAATGCAGACAGACAAATGACAGAAGGACATAAAGCAATAAACAGCTACATCTTTCAATTAGCTAAATCAACCATATCTTAGTCAAGCAAACAGTAAAACCTGGTACCATTATCTGTTTACAAAGCTGAGTTGCAAGCACTAGTGTATACTACTCAAGAAGCTATTTGGCTCAAACAATTTGCTAAAGAGGTACTACAGACTGAATTAGCACCCATTACAATTTATTGTAATAACCAAAGTGTAATAAAGACTGTAAAGTCTGATGAAATAACATACAATGCTTGCACTAAACACCTTGATTTACAAAAAGACTTTGTACAATGTTACATTCAAAACAATTACATCAATTTATGCTATGTTCAATCACAGAATCAATTAGCAGACATCCTTACGAAAGCTCTCCACGTCCCACAGATCAAGCATCTAATTGAACTATTAGGCATACAGTCTTAGTTCTTAATTAATGCTTGAAGGGGAGTATTAGATTGCACTCTAGCTCTAGATTAGGAAACCCCCAATTGCCTTTTGTAGTGTTACTGCACTTGGAATGTCTCGGACTATCGGACTTCACACTGTAGTATATAAGGCAGATCCTTGCCTGATGTCTCAATAAGAGAGAGTTGGGGGGCACTCCCGCTACACTTGTTAAAAGCCTCCAATGATTCCACAACACAGACGTCCAGAGAAATGATGGTATACACCACCAATCATTAGGGCATTTAAGTAGACTTTTGAAGCAAACCGAATAGTTTTGAAAGTATTTGATTGTTGACTCTGTTTTGATGCGTTTTCAAAAGTGGAAGTATGGACATGCGCAGAAGAGGTACGTGTAATCAAGCCTTTGAGCAGGGAGGAAAGTAGATCTCAGGTTAAGGAACCAGCCCATGACTGATTGTCGAGAGGCCCGAATGAGACTGGGCACATCTTACACACTGACTGACCAGCAATCAATATTAATGCATCCGTGCAATGCAAGCACAATAGCACAATCAGCTGAATGTTATGTAATAGCTAAACGTTACATATGTAAGTAGACAACGATTGTTGTATAACTAATTAACTGAAGGAAACTATCAAAATTGTTAAAGTGATAATTGGTCGCGGAGTTAAAAGCTATACTCATTATGAAAAATTTCATTGAACATCTTTGCCCATACTTCTCCAGGCCAGCTTTCCATCTCGTTGTCATCCGGAAACTTTTCACATAGTTTTGTGTGATTTTTGCGGATCGTACATACCACTCCAAATGCAGAACGCTGCGATTGAATATGCCCAGGCTCTCCCCAGCGATTGAGATTGTTAAAGTTCTCATCGTTGGATAAATGAGGTATGACTGAAGGAGGATCGACCAAGAATTGAGAGTAAGTGCATGGCAGAATGCCCAGGAATATGTCCTGCTCGCCCTCGAATGCTTCCATTTCATCGTCTTCGTCGAGGTCCTTAATTGCCCGACAGTAGAACATGCGTTCGCCGATCCGAAACACGACGCGCTTATGGTTCGCCACGTCATACAGTATAGGAATTATATCACCCAGTGCCTGAAGCCGTCCCCTAGCGGTATCCGAAGAGGATTCATACATAAATTTTAGGTCAAGGGTTCCCCATCGTGAGAAGGGTACTATCCAGTCCCATACGCATTCGAAGTACGTCCAATCATTCGACCAGCCTAAGATTACTTGCCGTCCACACCTTCGGTCAAACCAGCTGCGAGTTACTTCTTCGCGAACAGAAGGAGCCAGATCTTCCTCAAATTTGTGAGAAGCCATTATTTTGTAGAAAATCGGAAGATTCGGAACCACCTCCGTCTACAACCAGTCACAAGTGCATCTGTAAATGACCAGAATCCGATTTCGAGTTAAAGCGTCACGTACTGATGAAAGCTTTTGGTCCTCTACTGGTATTAACTCTTCATCCATTGCATAATCAGGAAGTTCTATGCGGATGCTTTCGCGTGTGAGAGCGTCCTCTTCCATAAAAGACGCGAGCCGTACATCTCCCGAGACTGTACCCATCAATAAGAGGCCCCTTCCATCATCGAACACAAGGTCTGAGATTAGATGTTGAAGCGGAAGTGCATCTCTTGAGACCGGAATATAGTCGTCAAGTTCCGTGAAAGGTTGGCATTCGTCTGTATTTGTTGGAAGACGAATGGATGTTGTCGTAAGTTCAGAAGGCATCCAGCTGTGGGATGGTGAGACTATAAAAAAAGCCCTTCGGCCAGATTGGCCAATAGCATATCGAGCTAGCACTTGAGCTTGGAATACGTAAGGAGGGGTTGCTTTGGGCGACTCAATAAGAGTGAACGTTGCTGGCTCCTTGGTTTCACCTCTCAAAACAACGACCTGTCGGATAGCAGAGCTGTATCCCTGGTAGTACATACGCAGCATCGCATCTGGCTGACCCATTTCCCGTGACTCATCAACGGAAATATCGAAAAAATGGCCTTTGCATGCCGATTCCTTTAGAGATAGGAAGGATACATGCTCGGACCTAAGTTCTCCATCAGGCGACAGGGCGAAGACGTGGACTGTGCGACGATGTAGGGTGAATATGTACCTGTTCTTAATAGTCATAGCTATACAAGGCTCCTGAACAAATGCAAGATGTAGGCTGAAAGCTGGCGCGTTGAAATGAATAGTCATACGTACGAGGGGAAGTGGGGAAAGTGCTCGTAAAGGAGGGCTTGGTGATAGATATAATCGAGTCAAGTCCTTCGTTTTCCAATTGGCAATGTACGGGTACGCATCATCACCCTTGTGAACAGCGAAGCCGATGAGGTTGCCCTGTAAGAAGCGGACGTGTGAAGCTTCAGACATCCACGCAAGTTGGCTAATCATCACTTCTCCCGCATGCTGAGATATGCGGATGATTAGTATATAAGGCGAACTTCATGTTACGGTAAGTAAGTTACGAAATACAGGAGAGAAAAATGCATATGACTTACGAAGTTCCTATGGTAAGTGCACATTGCACTTGCGTGTCAGATTCTTCCACTATTCCATCAATCACAGGTGCCTCCACGAATTTCTTCGCAGCAAGTCTCATCTCTCCCTTCGGCGGTATATCCCATATTGTGACTTCGCACCTATTCATGTCTGCTGAAGCAACAAAGACCCAACGTCCAAGGATCAGTCTAAGCCAAGTTATAGCTGAACCGCGGCTGTTTTCTATTCTGCGTACGTGAAGCCTCCTCCAGATCGTCGCGTAGTTTCTATCTAATAAAACCGCATGCTTCACCAATGACTCAATGTCGCGCGCTTCAACGTCCTTGATGCAGCGTAAATACTGCGGAAAAGGCAACGAGTTTCGTATTACGTGTTGTTTGAACAAATACGTCCAAAGCTGTTTGTCGTTCGAAATGCCAGACGAGAATGCAGAACATGTCTATGTATGAAGCATTCTATCAAGAAGGAGGTTCGGCGTAAGTTGAATAGCATACCTGCCGCAGACGCAAAATATCATTGAACGTGAGCTCGGAGAAAATCAGAGAGTGAATATCTTGAGGCAAGGCCAGAATATTTTGCATCATGGCAGATTCCTATTGCTAGGCTCGTCGAGTACTTGGACTTGGGGTATACGAAAAAACGAGGTTGTGGTTCACGTTAGGGGTGAAGAATAAGAGGCGCGGTGGTCTGGCGACCGACATGACCGAAGTTCCGCTTAGGCGTAAGTGCTAAAGAACAACTGAGACGCCAATCCAAATGGATCAACAAACAAGTGGGGTTGTTTGTTCACCGTCATCGAACACAACACAATGCTGTGTAAAATATATACAGCCACTTAACTACAATACGTTGATAGTGCTACTGATACATGTAAGTTTGACCGTCATTTAAAGGCAATGACAAGGGAAGATAAAGGAAATAGGGGAATAAAGTTTACTGTAACTGTGGCCGACAATTCACAAGTTGCAAGCTTTAGCACAGTAATATTCTCTGACCAAATATATACATACTGCTCAGATATATATCGACTGTATAGCAACTCTAGAACAGGAGTGAGCTCTGTTGATATGCAGTACCGGGTAGACCTGACAAATGAATCTTAGCAGTTCCACTTAGTGCTCCGCGCGTAGCGTATACGCTTACGCGCGTAAAATTTCCCACGTATACGCATACGCGCGTATAATTACGGGCGTAAACTGGGTCAGCAGGACCCATATACGATACGCTACTTCCGTATACGGCGTATACGGCGTATACACTGTGCCAAATATAACAAGATACTTTACATTAAAATAGCTCATAAAAGTACACTATCATCTTTCAAAACAAATGCTTGATATTACTGAGCTAAGAAAATGTATTGTAGTGCTGTTTACACACAGAAATAAGACAGTTGAGTATTGTGAGTTAATATCACGTGACAGCTCTAAACCTTCATGTGATGTACTGTAGTAACCATACTAACCGTAGTACTCATACTAGTACTTTTTAAGTTAAACAAGGTTGTTATATAGTATTAAAATGATTTGGTATATAAATAAGTAAAGTAAATGAGGTTTAGAAACTCAAACTTAGTATTTAATTAGAGAATATGCTTAGTAATACCGTATACTCGTATACGGCGTATACGGAAATTTTTTACTTATGGTATACGCATACGCGCGTAAATATACGCCCGTATTTTCAGCTAAAATTTTCTCTTACGATACGGTGCGTAAGCGTATACGCTGCAGGCGTATCCGTAAATTACGCTACAGTGCGGAGCACTAGTTCCACTGGCAGGCATGCTTCAATCTGTCCCTTTGCATCTGGATTCTGCAAGGGGCCCAATTGCTATATATTGCTGACTTCCAAACCTGTCTTCTCCTATCCTTGTTCTTCCTTTCTCATGTTCCTTCTGGATTCCTGTGTGGTGTACATCACCCGTTGTGGATTCAATGAGGAAAGGTTCGTTAGTATTCAACACAAACTATCACTTCGCGTCAATATCTCGGATCTCGGTGTCATCGGCCTTGAATTACAATAATTAGTATTTCCAATATCACAGATGCAGAGGCCTCTAACTAGTTTACTTGTCTGTCTTAGTGAAATGTGCAACATCACAATATACTCTGCCACTTATTAGTTCAACACATTCATGGAACAAGAGACTTCTTGAACAGAAAATAATGTTACCATGGAACTCGAGCCTCTTAAGTGTCTGGAGCTATTTGGCTTCAAGTTGCCATCAAATATTCTACAATAAGTGGATTTTCTGATATAAAAACTACTGTATCTACCCTATGTCAATACAATATAGATAGAATCTTGGAGACTCTTTTCTTGCTGATCTGGTCGCTGGCTCGTCCATCTCTCCCGTACAAAAAATTGCATCTATTCTATTCGAAATATGGCATCGTATACCTACCCGATCGATACTTGCGGCCGTACTGGAGGCGCGCCTCTCTGCTGGAACTGGGGGAAAGATGACGTAAGCATACAATTCTGACAGTATAGCTGCCTACTTTTATTGATAACCTTTGAAAGATAATTTATTATATTAAAGCACATGAAGGAATTGCACGTCAAAACTATGTTAGCAGACATGGAGATGGAACGCGATTTAATAATGTTCTCCATAACATTCTTTTGAAGTGCTTGTAAGTACCGATTACTAATTACTTAGTCTTACTATTCTAACCAGTAAATTTCTAAATCGTACAAATTTACTTAGGCAAACTGCAGATACGTATGCATTTGACACCAGAACTAATCTTCCAATAATCTTGGAAGCGGCATTTCATAGGCATAACGCTCTTCCTTTCTCAGATGTCTTTTCTGCACTTGGTAAACTTGACAATACCTGTTCCTTGACAGTCAACCAGCTAATTTTTTTAACCTGCAAGGATGGTTCATATCGTATGCAGAACCGCCTGTGGCAGACCTTGAGCGCACTCAATTTCGCCTCTTGTGCTACACTCGACTCTGTTACATATTGGGGATGTACATTGCAAGTAGGAACCAGAAGAAAGCAAAAGCGCCATACTTTCCAACTGTCACACACATATTTATTGAAGGGAACTGGACAGCCCTTGCTACTGAAGAGAAAAAATCGACCCTTCACCTTACCATGTCACTTTCTTCTTCTCTTCCTGTTTCCACGGCTAAAAAGGAATTTGCCGATGCGAGAGTCACACTGAGGCAGAAAAGGCTAGAAGCTCTTGGGAATATGAGGAATTCGCCTTGGATGCAGCAGGCTCCAGCTATGACAGCAGTTGCACAAGGGATGCATCAGATAAACAAAGGAATGGCAGGAAATTGTGCTGAGACACTTAATCTAGCAAGGTATGCTCTGTCTTAACTTCAGTTTGCAAAGGTATCTCTGAGATTGTACATTGTGTTAGCCATCGGTCTGATAGCAGTAGCAGACAAACAATTGGTTTTGGCCAAGCCTTGTCTGTACGCAAGCTTCCAAAACAGTTTGTATCTGTACAAGACTGTTTAAAGGAAAGTCATATGGATCCGTGCAATTCCTGTGACTACCTTCTGGGACATAGTGGAGTATCACAGCAGGACATGGGTACTGGTTGGACCTATGGTAATCTCCCGGCTGGTTATGCCGAAGATGATAACTGGCCTGTGAGAGTGAGTTACATGTGTTATTTTAAACAACAGAATACTGAATACGCCAACACTAGCAAAGTTCCTCCAGCAGACCTGCTTGGAGTTATAACGAGTATTCAGAAGCAACGTCGAGTCAAGCAGACACATTCCCAATGCTAGCGGGTCGCCCAGTAAATGGTTCTCCAGATTATTGGAGGAATATAGGCCAGGGTCATGCCTTCGTTGTGCCGCGAAAATAGTCATTTCAAATGGTGGCTTCACATTGTTCAAAGGATTAATTGTCCTGTATTCTGGAATGCCATACAATACCATATTATTCTACTAATTTTCACTGCTACATTCATCATGATCCATCATCCATGATCTTTTTCTTCAAGTTGCTCATATATGTTCTCATCAAGTGGATAATCAGATCATGCCCAATTACAAAATATTACTTACTGTAATGCTTACAATGGCTTATTGAAACCACTGTAATGGCACAATACAGAGGTCTAGAGCAGTGATTGTATAGGCAATAGATTGCCGGGAAATCTAGATAGACTTTCAAGGCAAGCCAAACATGCCAGTCTCTAGTCTGTTGCTCTGTTCCAGTGCCAGAAGGTATCCCATGTAGCAAACTCACCAGATTTCAGCATCTGTTACTGCAATTGCATACTATTTAGTATTTCCCAAAATGTGGTCCAGCTGCATGACACAGAGGCTGGGATCATCCACAATTCTGTATACAAGTAGTATATTGCTCGTGTTGAAAATGTCTTTCTGTTGAGTACAGAGACGTTTCTGACCCTTGACTCAATATATTAATGCTGCATGCTCCCACATCCCCTAAAAAGTGTGAGATATGCGGGACGCAAAGGTACTTCTCCCTCAGAGAATATGTGAATCCACATTTACTTGTCACAAAAGACCATATGGTAAATCTTAGAACATATCCGGAATTGAAGCTGGTACTTCTACAATTTCCGTCATGTCTCTGAAGGCATATGGTCCTTTTGTTGGACTGTGACAGGAACTCACAAGGGAACGTGGCTAAAACAAAGATATGCATAACAAATGTACTATATAGGCACGAAGTATGCGGGTCCCTCCACAAATTCCGGGATATTCCTTCTCCTATCTTGAAGCCGTTCGTTGGTAGCGCGATAGTTTTCGTCCCATTCTTCATCTGTCCAGGACTCCATACTTGCATTCTCCGGAATCTTCCCAGATGTCTCTTTCTGGTATTTGCGAATCGTACGTACAGTTCCAGCAATGCGGCTCTGTGCACTGTGGCTGTAGGGAGGGACCCAATCCGTTAGGTTTCGCTGTGTATCGTAGTCGGAAACGTGGGGGATAATGGATAGAGGATCGGATATGAACTCTCTGTACGTGAGTGGCAAAATCCCCAAGACAATGTCATCCTCATCTTCGTAGTCAATGTCCATGACGCTTTCTCTATCAACAGTACGATCAAGTGTTCGGCAGTAGAAAATGCGTTCTCCGGTTCGGAATATGGCGCGGGAGTGGTCATCAGTGCGATATGCGACTGGAATGATGTCTCCCAATGTTTGAAGACGCATTCTTGCTATCGAGCAGGAGGTGTTGTAAAAATCATAATCGACGTCAAGAGACCCCCAGCGGGAAAATGGTCTGATCCAATCCCATATGCGTTGAAACCGGGTCCAATCATTTGACCAGCCTGCAAAGGACAACGGCACAGCGTATTGACCAATCCAGTCCCGAGTTATCTGCTTGAACTCTTCTGTTGGTAGGTTCTCCCATATCTTATAGTGTTTTCGAATGTCATAAAATGTTGGTAGATTAGAACGAACAGCAGTCTAGAGAGCAAACGTTAGGTGTCGATATGGAAAGTTGGCAGTTTTGGATACCTGCGAGACCCTTGTAATGCCAAACATTGATCTAATTTTCGGCAAATCTTCTGGAAGGTCGTTTTCCGTGCTTCCTTGAGCGACAACTTGTGTCTCAAGGAGTGAGATGAGTCGAACATCCCCAGATTCAGTTCCAATGAGCAGTAGGCCATGTCCATCATCAAAATCGATGGCAGTGATCATCTGAAGAAGAGGAAAACCTTCTCTAGATGCTAGTACGTGTTCACCTATTACTGTGTCGTGTTGACCTTCCTCAGCGTTGGTTGATGCACGGATACCTGCGGTAAAGAGACTGGCGGGAATCCAGCTACAGTCAAAGCGTGACGTTAGACAAAAGATCCTCTGAGCTGATCGGCCAATGCAATATCTGTACAGGACCCGGGCACTTGGCACGTCCGGTGGGTTGTTTTCCAAGGTCTCGACTATAGAGAACCTTGGCGAATTGTCCGGCGGGTCCTCCCGAAGCACGTTTACTTGTATGATCTCGGAGTCGAAGTTCTGGAAGTGGAGTCGTATTGGTGCATCGTTACTTATCGATTGCGCATGTTGCAACGTGTCATCTATGAACTGCCCCTCAAGAGCCATTTCCGATAGTCCGAGCTTTGCTACATGTTGCACAATCGTCTCAGGAACATCTGAATGTGCTGGCTCATGGAACACGTGAATTGCAGATCGATGTAAAGTGAACACGTATCCGTTTTTGATAGTCATTGCAACGCACGATTCCTAGATTTCCGTACCATGGTCACACTCGGCACAAAAAGTTATGAAAACACACTTACGAATGGAATTGCAGATAACTGCGAAGCGTCGCTGGGGATACGCAACCTGAACAGGCGGCCTGTTCCCCAGTTTGCAATGTATGGATACGTGTCGTCGCCCTGATGGACGGCAAATCCAACAAGATCGCCGTGCAAAAAGCGAACAACTGAGGCCTGAGGAAGTTCGGCAACCTGGTGAAATTCAACATTTCCTTGGTGACAAGAAATACTAAGGATCAGAATGTATGGAATACTTGATATGTGCGTCAGAAACATCATTCTATGGCACAAAAAGTAAGACCATACGAAGCTCCAATCGTGATAGCAAATTGCACACTTCCAGAGGAATCATCCAACTGCCCATCAATGACTGGTGCTTCGAGGAAAACTCTTACACAGAGCTCAACCTCATACTGTGGCTTTATCTCCCACAATGACAACTCGCTCTTTTCATCGTTCGAAGATGAAATCAGGCACCACCGTCCAAGAATAAGCTTGAGCCAAGTTACACGGAGGTCAGAGTAGCCTTGAACTTTACGGATAACCAGCTTTTTATTTGTTTTCAGATAGCTTCTGGAAAGTAAAGTGGCATGTTTGACCCATGACTCGATGGCATGTGCTTCTGCTTTCTCGACACCCAGTATATTGTATGGGATATAATGAGATTGAGAGTGAGCGATCAGAAAGGAAACGCGCCCATAGTTGTTTGCCATTTGAGATAGCGATTGACAGACTCGAACATGCCTAAAGAGTAGATGAAAAGAAATATATATCCATTCAGGTATAATTCAACAGATCGGCTGCTTACCTGGCGAAGACGCAAGATGTCTTCCAGAGATAAGTGGGACCAAATAAGTGACTGAACGTCGAGAGGAAGTGCCTGGATTGTAGGCATGTTCCTGACAAATCAAGAAGCCAGTCAGTGGCACTTCGAGCCTGAAGAGGTGACGGCGACTATGACGAAGAAGCTACAGCAATAATGCGGCATTGGTGAAACACAAGACGTACATTTGCATAAATCGACTACGATATCCGGCCCAACGAGGCTAATTGTTCGCTAGTACGAACAAACGACACGAGGCGAAAAAACGTCAGATCAGACAACTCAGATTAGCCCCGAGAACTCCGAATTGCCGCATTCAGCGAGAATCGATTTAAAAGGCGTACGAAATGAATAAAACAAGAGCGATGATTAGTATAAAAATAGGAGCACGGAATTAATGATGGATAGAAGGAAACATAAAGTATGGTATGTTCATTTACAGATACAGCACCGAACTTTAGGGGTTATAGAATTGTCAAGAAATTAGTGATACAGGAGTTAACGTGCAAGTCCGGAAATCCAGAAGGTGCGAGGAAGGGGGCAGATGTAGAGTACGGCAGTCTATTAAACCACGGATTGTCAGACGAAGTATTTCATCTCTGGGTCCCGATGAATGTCTTCATTGAAGAGTTCTTCCGACTCCTCTGCAAACCGGACATTGCTCTATGTCGAATATAAGGAAGCTAACCGTCCCCGTGCCGTCGCATCGCCAACAGAGCCGGCCACCGATGCGTGCATCGCCCGGATTCACCACTGTTGCGCCAGGTGGGGGTAATCCTCGTGTGGAGTTAAAGCGGGGAATAGGCATCCCCATCGGTCGGTTAGGATTGAAAAATCCACCTGGCCCGCAACCCGGGAATGGAGTTGATAAAGGACGTGCCGGATATCCTTGATTAGGACCGTCGAAGGGTTGATTAGGCTGGTTGTATGGTTGATAGGTTGATTGAGAGCGGTTGAGGTTGGACGGAGGCGGTGAAGCAAGAGAAGGCTGCGATCGTGCCTGCCGGTGATGAAGATGCGGAGGCCGTAAGTTTGGAAGAGGACGCTGGGACTGTTGGGTACGCGGTGCGTAAAGGATGGCACCAGAATATTGTTTTCCATATTTATCCCAACATCTTCGACAAGGGTGACTCGGATCAAAGGACTGCACGTAGTTAAAGTGTCAGAAACTAGATTCACGCTATGCGTTAACAGAAGAGTAGCCACCTTGTAACCAGTGTTCAAGCATTTCTTGCATTCATAATTTTGGGGATAAACTAGGACGCGGCCCTTGTTGAGGAGGGGTCGGCCAGGGGTCGGAGATTCTGTCGGACGCCAATCGTCGCCACTGTCCGATGCTTCTCTCGATGGATGCGAAGGTGGAGGACCAGGAGGCGGTGGAAAAGCTGGAGAATTCGAGGAAGGTGGGGGACCATCGGGAGGCGCGTAGCGTGACGAAGTCCGGTGAGACGGACTATGTGAGGAGGGTGTGCTTGAGGTAGGACCAACGCGTTCATAGTGCTCTGGCTCCGCAGACCCTTCAGAAGATCCGTGAGAATGCGCAGGAGACGGTACACGATCGTTAGCTGATGAAGCATAGAAGTCCCTTGCGAATTCAGACATGCCTGTGGGTGCTGGCGTCACTTGTACTTGCGGTGGAGGGTAATTGTTTGTAGTAACAGAAGGATGTCGCGGTGGAGGTCCAAAATGTCCTAAAGCATTATTATTTGGAGCTCCCTGACCAGGGTACTGGGTCCAACCGCCCGTCTGATGGGGTGTCATGGGTAGTCCTGTCGGCTGAGGGGTCATGAACGGACTCGGTTGAGACATGCCTGCGAAATGCGGGTGTTGAGGCATACTCATCCCTGTGAATTGCTGAGGAAGAGGTGGCGCAGGAGGAGCGGGCTGAAATGGTCTATGCGGGCCATATTCGACTGTTGCTTCACCATCATACGGATTTGCCGATGGTGTATACGCTGGAGGGGGCTCAGCTGGTGTGTTGTCCTCGAGAGTTGTGCCCTGCAGGTCAGCCGCAAGGTCATCTGCGGAGCGGCCTCTGCCCGAAGGACTCGGACCTCGAGAGGTACTTGCAGGAGGTGTTGCAGCGCGGGTGTGCGACTCAGGCTGCGGCTGCGGCGGTAGTTGCGAGATTGCAGGAGACGTCGTAGATGGGCCTGCGCCGGTCGGATTTGGCGTCACCGTTGGTGTTCGGAATGGGTTGTACTCGCTACGCTTCAGCTCAGTCGCCATCGTCGTAAGGGTGCTTGTAGTCGTCTCTGGAGGCGGGACAGTCGACAATTAGTACCCGTCAACCTTGGCTGTCCGGTGTGCTAGTATACAGCCTGAGTAGTTTCATCGCCTTTCAGAAAATTAGTAAGCATTATAGCATAAGGCTAGACTAACATAATTATCACGTGCAATGACAAGGCATTTCTCACTCACTAAAATTTACTTTTCAAAAAAGAGAACATCGTGCTTCAGTTGGAGGTTCTCTGCAATTCTGAACGATAAAATGAGACTCTCAATCGCTATTGTTGGGAACCCATCATTTCATGCTCCCTCGCTTGCCTAAAGCCACTGCTACTGGACTATATACTAGTGTGCCAACAACTCAGACTCTCTGATTGACGTGCTTCTGTTTCGAAACTTCCAAGATAATTTGCTTTGAAGCTTGGGCAGCCCATACTATCATGAATCTTTAGCAGAGAGAGCGAGTACGTGCCTATGGCAAGGGCATTCTCTCTGACTTCAGTTGGTTGCCACTCAAATCTCAAGCCAGGCACTCGTGTTTACTCTCTGCAGATTACTAGGGATCTCTGTCCTACCTTGCTTGTATGTGGGTCGTATCACATGGCGATTAGTATAGTGATTCAGATTAAGTTAATACTACCGAAATTGTGGTTGGGTGGTCTCCTATCAACACCTTGACACTCGGCTGTGCAACAGTATAGGTAAAAAGACAGCCGGTGTCATCGATACCTGGCACTTTCCGAGCTGGACATTCGTCAATTTTATGATCCAATGACTATGGACAGGTAATGTGCGGTGCGCATGCCACATAAAGACACTAGTGACTGGCATACTTGGGAGGTAACGATACACCAAAACGTCGAATCCCGCAGACGACACTAAAGTTTCTGCAGACAGGTACGTTCGCCCGAGGAACGACGAAGAGCGCGAAATGAAAGCCTGCTTATGTACAATTATTGGAATTGTTAAACTGAGTACGTTACCCTAGGCTCAAAGCGCAGCACGGTTATCTTGTAGCAACAGTATATGATGGACGTCTGATATACGACAAAGGAGTCCAACTCAGTCCCGAGGGTAGAGTGCTTGATGCAGGAACGGGGACAGGTATGTTGGTTTATTAGCACAAAATACAATACCTGATGTAGGTAAAAGGAGCATGGATTACAGGCCTAGCGAAAGAAGTTCCCGAAAGTGTCCAGCTTGTCGGTACAGACATATCACCTGCACTGTTTCCAAAGTCATTCCCCAGCAATGTTTGCTTTGTCGCGAATTCTACAACCAACCTTCCGGCCTCGTGGAGTTCCACATTTGACTTTGTCCATCAACGTGCCATGGTAGGCGCGTTTACGTCCTCAGACTGGGTTGCGGCTATGTCAGAACTCTATCGAGTTCTCAAACCCGGTGGCACGGCGCAAATCGTGGACTTCACCGAGCCATTCCCTTCAGGCGATAACTTGCAGGCGGTCGAGAAAATGACGACATTGTTCGCAGAGGTTCTACGATCCCGAGGATTTCTAACTAATTCGGCTGAGCATATCCCAGAGCTTATGCGGAACGTCGGCTTTACTGATATTCGAGTGGAGATCCGAGGTGCACCAATTGGAAATAATTGGGGTGAAATCGCCCGGATCGGCACCGACAACTTATTAATGGGATTAAGGTCAGTCGGAAAGCTTGCGATACCAGAAGGAGGATTTGCGTTGGTCAAGACAGAGGAAGACGTTGATGCGCTTTTCGATTCAGGGCGTAAAGAGCTCGACGAAGGCGAGGGTGTGTCTTACAGTTTTGTTGTCATCTTGGCGAGGAAACCGTTGCAGGAGTAACTTCATGTCGATATTTCAGTAGTGCAGGAAATTCCAGATGTTGTACATACTCTCACATAATTTAAAGAATCGTTGAATACAGCAGGCCAATGAAGATATCTCCTGTACGTTAAGGTGCAAAACACTGGTACTATCCATCTACACCAAGAATGCATAACACTTGCAGGGGACGGGAAATTTGAGCCCTCAAATGATTAGGTTAAGGATATTCGTATTGAGAACGGTTCATCCGTATTGATTGGAAGTTATGCTTAAATGCGGAAATTCATGCATATGACCATGCTAGGAGCAATGAGATTGATATTTATATGCTATTCTGCCTTCTACTAGTTTCATCAAGTGGCCACAACTCAGGGATAGAGACTGACTATGTTGAAGGTGCTGTATTTCTCTAGTAATCACCAAACGTGCAATACTGAGATCAAATGATAGAAAACACGACTGTAATAGGACAACCGAGATGAATGGATGGGAATTTCTGTGCATAAAAGAGGGTACTCTACGTCCAATCATTGGGGAACTCCACAGTTCCTGTATGTACTTCTCACTAGACCTTGTGCGTCCCTGATCAAGGAAGTTTTATTGGCTTGTCTGTATGGTACTTGCAAGAGGGCAAAATAATATTCCCAGAGTTTGATAAATATCTCAAAGCGGGAGGTAAAGCTACTGATGTGTCATGTACCATGGATTCGGGCTCAACCCATAAGGATACATTTCATATGTTTAGGTATATGATGCTCTGGGATAAAGTCAATACGCTGAAACATGAGTTCGCGTCATATCATGTGCCGGTCAGGTTGTTTCTCTGAACGGCGGCTACACAACAACAAGGACAGAAGATGGATCGTACCACTATCGATTGATGTTGTACCGGAACTATGCGCAGTCCATCACATTTAAAGAATGAAAGAACTCAGGGCGTCAAGGTACATCGGAATGCCGAACCCCGCAAACGAAACTAAAGGTACTCCAGACCAGTATATCCGCCCAAGGAACGATGAACATCATAGGTCAGTCAGTGTTGTTGAGTCTACTCACAAGGGCCGATGAACTGGAGGACATTTATCTAGGCTCGAAGCACAGCACAGTTACCTTGTAGTCACAGTGTATGATGGACGATTTATCTACAATAGGGAATTTCAGCTCAGTTGCAAGTTGCGAGGGCAGAGTGCTTGATGCAAGAACGGGAACTAAAATGTGGATTCATTGGCGTAAGCGATGGTATCTGATGCTAGTAAAAGGAGCATGGATCATGGATCTGGCTAAGGAAGTTCCGGAAGGCGTTGAGCTTGTTGGCACCAACATATCGTCTGCTTTGTTTCCGAAGTCGTTTCCCAGCAACATTCGTTTTGCTGCGAATTCCATAACGAACTTCCCGGCCGAGTGGACCATTTACATCGTCACTTTTCGGAATAAGTACTCCACGTGCAAGCTTCTCAGTCTGTTGGGCTGTGTTAGGAAAATATGCCAGGTGGTCGTCAGATTGGCCGGATTGATGATGATGTACAGTGACGCAAAAAACTGTTGACATGATTAGCTAATTTCAGCTAATTTGCTTGTAACTCCACAATCAATAATTATTAGAAAATATAAAAAATACTGTTAGAAAGCTATTCTTCACAGCTTTCTATCTGTATGTATTAGAAAGAAAAATATGTAAAATTGAGTGAGTTATGAAAGGATCTACATGTATATATCATGTTAACAGTTTTTTGCCTTTATATCAAGATTCAAAGATTTATCTATAACTCATACAAATCAGCATATTTCTTCTTGAGAAAAATCATGTATGTAACAATATAGTATATGTACAATATATCCAAGTTTTATTGTAAATGGCTCTTATTTAGTTGAGTTAAAAATGCTAAAGTGAAGTTGCCAATTTGGCTGAGAAACATACATTTTTACTACTATATTCTTAATAGAATTCAACCAGTGCTCAGAGAAAC